TCAGGCGTTCTGTTGATTTGTAACTTAAAAAAAAAAGGTTGTTTAAAATTTTATTTGAACATTAATTCAAGCATGTGCGACTCACCGTCTGATACGTGATGATGAATTTTATCATATGGCCCACAGGCATGTTCTGGCTGAGGCATTCTCTCATGGTTGGCAGCGGCGGCTGGTAGCTGATCTTTGCTGTTGAGATACAGTAGAGTGAATTTAAAAAGCAGCACTTTATTTTATTGTCAGCCATCCAATTTGTGCAATATCATAATTTGTTTCCAACTAGAGCTGAATTTTTACTTTTCTTGTCAAGATCCTGTATTTATGAATGCAGAGTCAGAAGTTGCAGTCTAAAAGATTCATAACGAGGTTAAGGTCTAGACTTTGTGGTGGACAATTCACGTGTCTTCATGATGTCAACATTTAAGTCTTATGAGTGTTGGCACTGTTACTCTGAAAAAGGCTTACACTACCAGTGAAGAAAAAAATAAGGTGATGGATGGTTCTTTAAAAATTTCAGGAGGCTATGCCGTTCATAATGGATGATGACCCTTTGTGACTGGATTGTGACATGTATAGGAAACTTCTTTCACTATGAAAGCAATCAGGACACTTGTACACACTAGATACTCGTTTTTCTGGCTAATTTCTGCTTTTCTCCTCGACCTCAATTAAGTTGGCATCTCACTGAGCTGCGAGTAGTTTGAGAACAGCATTCATGAGGGAGTCTCTTGAATGTCTTTATGTCTGGTGACTTTTGCAGAGTTCTCAACTTCATTGCATGACCCACAGAGATGAACAACTCTGTTAGAGATTTGAACGTGTTTTAAAAATGTGCACAATAACTTTTCTCTCAAAATAGTCACAGCTTTTATGGGTATCTCCAACACCTACATTTTGCAACAAGTCTCTCTAACCCTTCTGTATGGGAGCTCTCATCTGACAGAAAATGCATCCAGGTCTAAAAATCACACAGACAGTAACATTTTTTTATTGAAAATCTGGTTTAAATCTGCCTATTTTAAAAGCATACTCCAGTAGATTAATAATAAATGTGGGGGTGATTGCCAAGGTGGGTGGAAAACGAACAGAGGAAGGCAACACAATAATGTACAAAACTAGAAGGGTAGCTTTGCAAGGCATGCATGCAAGAATTTTTTCCCCCTTGCTCGCTCTTGTGCAAGATAAAACGCCTTTCTTCCCTCTCCCATCTTCCTCCTGCTTTTTTGCTCCCTGTCTTGTGTCTGAGCTCCCATTTACACATCTTCTGAAATGTAAACTACTGTCATGGATCTGGTCGGCTGGACTTACAACGCAATCAACAAATTTTTTTTCAACAAAGCGACAGGGTCAAGGAGAACTCTCATGCCCCACTGAGACGCACGTGGCAGGATATGTCATGGATCTGATGAGCCTTTCCATATTGTCTCAGGAGGACATTGAAGATATTGGAATCATGATAGAGTTTCTGCTTTTTGGCATCAGCGTATACCTATTATCGGCTAGTCAAGAAGACGGCGGCAGGAGTTTCAGCCATGGCAAAACTGCCGACCCTGTGTCTGGTTTGTGCTTTGAGCACTCAAAATCAGCTGATTTATGAGTTAAACCATAAGACGGAAGCAATTTGTGAGAATCGCAGGCCACGTGCGGCTTCTGGGACTCGCCAGCATGTTGGGGACGACCTTGAAGGGAGCTACTAAACAAGGACCAGTGGAATGCCCACAAAACTGGCCAGTTTGGATTGAAAGTACCAGCAGAACTCAAGGCTGACGAGAATAGCAGTCTGCCTGAAAAAAAACAACAACTGTGGCTTATCTGAATCTGACTCCCCCGACTGGCCTCGAAACAGACCAAATTATCAAATTTCTCCTGGGATATGTGTAAACAAAGAAAGTTCCGTCTATCGCATATCTAGGCATTAGCCCATCAGGGCCAGAACTGCCTTAAATTATCCAAGTCAGAAAATCATTGTACATACATCTACAACTGTTAACTGTAATCTAAGAAGACTGCTACAGTGAACTGACCTTTGCAAATACAAAAATTGCATTTTTTTTATAGACAGAGCAACAACATGATGCAGTAGTTGCCGAGTGCCATCCCCAACACAGACTCCAAGAGTTAATATAAGTAATGTAGATCAGAACGTTCCTAACACCTCCTAACATCTCTATGCCGATGATACAGTTGTTTATTGTCGAGCTAAAACAGTTGCCAAGATTTTCCAGCTTCTACAGTCTGCATTCGACATCATTCAGTCAGATTTGTTCCATCTCAAACTGGTGCTAAATGCTGACAAAACCAAAGTGATGTTGTTTTCAAACAGAAAGTCGGTGCCAACGGTCCATCCTATCTCATCCATGCATCGTGTTCCTATCGAGTTTGTAGATTCTTACAAATACTTGGGAATTTTAGTTGATTCACATCTCTCTTTTAAGCTGCATGTCAAAAACTTGATAAAGAAGCTGAAATTAAAACTCGGTTTCTTTTTCAGAAATATATTTTGCTCAACTCTGAATGCCAGGAAATGCCTTGTAGCTGCTACTTTCTACCGGTCATTGATTAGGGCGACATTATTTACATGAATGCCCCTGCCAGCTCCTTGCAGATGTAGGACACTGTCCATCATGGTGCGCTAAGATTCATAACTGGCTGTAACCATCGTACCCATCACAGACTCATTTGCCAATTTGCAAAATATCTCATAAACACTGGGGTGGATTTCATTCAGACCCTTAGAAACAATCAGTATGTGTACATCTACAAGTGAATAATGTTTGGAGTTTGCCACAGCTAATCAAACCTAAAATAGAAAAAAAAATGTTGATGTGTCTGATACATTTGCAGACAGTCTAAAATTAGGTTTGGAGCAGAGAATCATCAACAACATACCCAGAGTGCCAACAGATTGTAAGAGATCTTCATTTACAACTTTGCCATGCAAAGCACCGCATGCAAATGTTTGAGGAATACTAGTTTAAAGTTGTGCAGTTTTTACAATGTCCTTATTTGCCTTATTTGCTTGTTGCACACCAATGAATTGCTTTGTCATAATAGTTTAGCAAAGTTTGCTTCCAACAGGGCACAAGCAGACATACAAATCTATTAGAGGTTAAATAATTTGTTTCCAGCTGATATCACTGCAAGACTTTTCCAATATTGCACAGCAACATGTGGGAGAATTCTATAGACTTTATTTTTCTCTTCTTTTCCTCTCTTATTAAATAATCACTTGGTGACAAATAGCTCTCTAGAGTTCACCCCTCTATTGATCAGGCGTTGAAAATAAATCCTGTGAATTAAAGCTACTTCACTTGTTCCCCCGACTCCGGAGTACTAATCACAGAGCATAAATCTATAAATGTTTTATCTCAGTGCTTTGAGAACAGTCAAGTGAAAGTTCTTGGTACCTAAAATAAGACCATTTCTGCGGTTTCTGCGAAGCAACATTAACACAAAAACCAAGTATCTAACAAATGAACTGGTGAAAGATTTAGTGTTACACCGAAACTGTGAAAAGTCTATCAGAAACCTAAAAAAACAATGTAAAACAAAAGTACTTGAACTTGAAGCAGTAAAACGGATTAACAGGAAAATGCTACATAGTGCCACAGTAAAACTTATCTTTGGTCCTGGAAATTAAACACAAAAGTGGCTAAATCTATATCTATGTCGCAGACAAGTGCCAGCAGTTTGCAGAAGTAGTCTAAATCTTCCAGACTTTAAAGACACCACACTGTAGGAATATTTTAAATATATTATTGATCATGGGCATGTCAGTGTCTCTACAAAGGATACAATGAAAGTCATTTCTTCTTTCTGACAAAGAACAGAAATTTTGATTAATGATCAAAAATCCTTGAAAATGTCTCCTCCATTCATATAAGGGGATCCATTATAAAAGACAGAGGTTACATATTCAAACTGGTGAGTGTTGTGTTGCAAAAACAGACATTGACACAGAAACATGACATCACAAAATGTCAGCTCCAAAACGTTGAGTATAAGCATCAATTATTTATATAATGGTATATAGCACATTTCTCTTATCGAGATACTCAAAGCTCTTTACACTACAAGATGTGCCCTCATTTACCCATTCATGTAGCACTCTACTAAATCTCCACAAAGACTAATGCTTTATCACATTCATACACCGATGGGATGCACATCGGAGGCAATGAGGGGTTCAGTATCTTACCCAGGGACACTTTACCATGGGACTGCTGGTGGAATCAAACCTCCAACTCTCCCATTGGAGGACGACTGCTCTAACCACTCGGTCCTTTACACATTACAATTCTGCACCATATAATGGAGACACAACACCAGGTCCTGGTTCACCTTGACTGAGCTATTAGTTACTGAGGCACAGAAAGGCTTAAATACTCAGTCAGGTTCTAAACAAAAAAAATAAACTAAACTTTACCTGTACTCACTTGTTACCCAATAAGTACGTAGCAGTTTCCGGCTAAATTTAATTTTCTTCTTCTTTCGGCTGCACCTTTCCTCAGGGGTTGCCACAGCAAACTAACTCACACAAAGACTTGGTGATTGTTTTTATGCCGGATGTCCTTCCTGATGCAACCACAGACCACCGAGCTACCACAGCCCTCTGTGTGGAGCAGAGAGCTGCTATCTAGGGCGTCTGGGAGAGAAGATGGTGGGGGGGGGGGGCCTTGCTCAAGGGCCCAGAGTAGGGTAAATGAGGGTGGAGGCAGGTGTGGGTGTTTCACCTTTCCCACCCACATTTTGATGTCGAACCGGCAACCTTCCGATCACAGGCTCACCTTTTCCAACCTCTGCGCCACCATTACCCAATTAAATGCAACTTTAATTCCAAATGATTGATTCCAGAAGGGCAGCATGGTGGCACAACTGGTAGAGCTGCTGCCTCTAAGCGAGCAGGTCCCTGGTTCAAACCCCGGTCCAGGTGCCTTCTGGGTGGAGTTTGCATGTTCTTTCCGTGCATGCGTGGGTTTTCTCCGGGTACTCCGGTTTCCTCCCACAGACCAAAAACATGCATGTTAGGCTGATTAGCAACTCTAAATTGTCCCTAGGTGTGAGTGAGAGAGTGAATGGTTGTTTGTCTCATTTGTCTCTATGTGTCCCTGTGATGGACTTGCGACCCGTCCAGGGTGTACCCTGCCCCTCGCACAGTGATTGCTGGACATGGGCACCAGCGACCCCCG